CAAGTCCCAAGATGTTGTTGTTGTTAAGTGCCATCGAGGATTCTGACCCATCGTGATCCTGTATAAGATCGCTGGTAAGCTTGAACCACCAACCTTGCAGTTCAAATGACTTTGCAGCCTGACACATTAGCTCAGAGCACCACACCAGGACTCCTCAACCATTTTAGGAGGAAGAATATGAATAAGAAGCCCAAAATACTTACATGGAATAAACCAGGTGGAGTCCACGAGTCCAGACCACAAAAAGATCATTTATTTGGTTTTCTAAAAAATTGTGCTTCTGACTCACCAGAGGTGCCCAACCTCCTTGGAGATCCTCCCGATGTTTGGGATATCTCACAGCCAGAACATGTTCAGAGAAAAGACCCTAATAAAGTTACATTTCACCATTTGTTTGTCATACTGTGGTGGCTGCACATTGCTGTAACTATGGAAGCTATGCTACCGATATTTGAAATACCAGTAGGGTCACCCTGGAGTCCTAGTGTGGCACTGTGGGTTAATGGGCTGGACTGCAAAGTCAGTTGGAACCTCCAAGTCTGTGGTTCAAGCTGACCAGCTGCTCCTAGGAATCCCTGTACAAGACTGCTGTGAGTTGAAACCAACTCGATAGCACTTAACAACAACAACAACAGAATCACCATTGGTTGACAGGTTTCAGCAGAGTTTCAAGACTAAAACAGACTAGAAAGAAGGAGAGACAGACTTCTTCCAAATATTTAGTCACTGAAAACCTTATAAATAGCAATGGAACACAGCACCAGAATATTGAATATTGAAACATGATAAAGAGCACCAGAATATTGTCAGATATAGTGCCGGAACATGAGACTCTCAGGTTGGAAGGCCCTCAAAAGACAAATGGCAAAGAGCTACCTTCTCAAAGTAGAGTTGACAGTGGTGACACGAATGGAGTACAGCTTTTAGGACCTTCATTTGTGGATGACGCACTACTCAAAATGAGGAGAAATAGTTTTAAAATCCATTAATACTCAGAACATGGAATGTATGAAGTATCAATCTACGAAAATTGGAAATTGTCAAAAATGAAATGGAATGCATAAACACTGATTTTCTAGGCATTAGTGAACCAAAATGGACTGGTATTGGCCATTTTGAATCTGACAATCACATGGTTTATGATGCCAGAAACGACAAACTGAAGCAGAGTGGTATCACATTCATCATCAAAAAGAATATTTCAAGTTATGTCTTGAAGTACAATATTATCTGTGATATGATAATATCCATACACCTAGAAAAAAGACCACTTGATATAAATACCATTCAAATTTAGGCACCAACCACTAAAGCCAGTGATGATGAAAATGAAGAATTCTACCAACTTCTTCAGTCTGAAATGGATTAAACATACAATCAAGATTTATTGATAATTACTGGCGATTGGAATGTAAAGATTAGAAATAAAGAGGAAGAATCAGTAGTTGGAAAATATGACCTTGGTAATAGAAATGATACTGGAGATCACATGATAGAATTTTGTAAGACTAATGACTTCTTCACTGCAAACACCTTTTTAAAACAACATAAAAGATGATGATTGAGTTGAACACAGTCAAAGTATGGTAACTGATCTCCCTTTCTTCCTGGATGAGTGAGCAAATGAATAAGTATTGAAGTCAGCATCCATGAACATCTCCAATAAGCAATGTTTGGCTACTACTTCTCTTTGAACTAATGCTGTGTTTTGGCTGTGTGTGGCCCAAAGTTTTGAAGTGCTACTTGGAATCTCTTTTCTTCCATGGAGTTCTCACCATTCAAACAACAAATTTGATAAAATATTAATACTTAGGCTGACTGTGCTGCTTGCCTCCACTTGGTCATCTTTGTATGAATCCAACGGTTTGGTTTCCATTTTGGAATGTTTTGTTGGTGTTTTTAAAACGGTTTTTAGTTGGTGCTCATGAAGAACCATTGGTACTTAAAACTGTGCTACTAATGAAAGGAAATCTGATCTAAGAAGGTGCATTTTGGTACCAGAGCTGTGCCACACCAACCTTTGGGCCCTCTGCTGGAAAGTAGAATCAAGTCTCAAATAGTACCTTTTTAATAGTATCCTTTAGTATTTTAGATGCAGAACCATCCTGTATCATACCTCTGTGAATGTAAAATATCTTGTACCTGCTTTATGGTATGTAATAGTGACTATGTTATATCAGGGCTGTTTGAAGAATGTTAACCTTTCCAGATGATGATTAAGACACTAATTTTTTTTTTTTTTTTAATGGTGCCAGGTACCACAACAGTAACAGAACTTTGCTGTTTTCTGAGGTTTTGTTTTATACTCTTTTTTTCCTTTTTTAATGGAGTGTGCTGGATGTCTGTATAGTTTTGTTCAGATGACTGCAGAACCTGGAAAAGCTGTTGCTGCTTTTGATGCATAACACTGTCTCTAGTCTACCCTTAGTCTAGAATTTCTAATTCATCCTGGTACTCTACACTGTCTTTCACCCAGAAGGACTCCCTCAGTGCCACCCCACTCACTTTAGTCCACTTGCCAAGACTGAACCACAGTGCCTGCTTTTGTACTGCTACTACTAAACATAAATCTTTTCTTTAGAATGACACTTTTCTTCAAAAACCTACCCCACATAATAGCATCCTATGCAATTTGAGAAAACCATACTTTAAGGATTGGTGGCCAACTAATTTCTCCAATTGTGCCACTCTAAACTTGTGGAAGAAGATGACTACTATTTGTGCCCCCCAAGGCATGTCTTTCCTCTGTGAACACACTAACAATCCTTGCAATGGCTCAGTCTGTCCAAACGCCATGGGCTTGGTAGGCACACAGTGCCTAAGCCCTCGTCTTACATATGGCTGGTACACTCCAGGATGCATAGCACCCCAGCTAGTCCTTTATAATTACCACCCACCACCACCATCTTGTCCTCGAAGACAGCATAGCCTCTGAGATAGTATCTTAACTTGAGGCAGGAAACTTTTTTCTGAACATGGAGTTTGGCAACATTTTAGAAGCTTTCATCATTTTGCCTTTTGTATGCTCCACCACATTCATAGTTGTGTCTACAGCAAAGTAAATACCCCATATGCAAAAATCCTGTCAAACCCTCATATGTTTGTGGGTGTATTCCCACTCTTCCTCCCATATGCATTCAGCCTGTTTCCTGTCAGTGTATTTATCCATAGAACACTGTTGTTATAGGGTTGTATATATAACTTTATTTACCTCGATCCCTTTTGCATTCCTTCCTGTGACTTCACCTGTTTTCATCATTTTCCACCAACCTCCTTCTTGTCGTATATTCCCTTCTACAGCACCCAAGTTAACATGTCTTCCCTCTATCCAGTGAACTAGTCTTCCTTCCCTTCCACCCATGGTAGCCATTAAATAATGTTTCTTTTAGCAAGAAAACGTTTTCTTGAGTTTTACCCATAGCAGTCTCATACAATATTTGTCCTTTTAGTGACTAATGTCACTTAGCATAATGTTTTCCAGGTCCATCCATGTCATGAGGCGTTTTACAGATTCATCACTATTCTTCAATGTTGTATAGTATTCCATTGTGTAGATGTACCATAGTTTGTTTATCCATTTTCACATAGATGGGCATTTAGGCAGCCTCCATCTTTTTGCTATTGTGTATACTGCTGTGATGAACATCAGTGCATATATCTACATGGCTCTTATTTCTTTTGTATATATACCAAGTAGAGAAATTGGTGGACAATACAGCTTTGCTATTTCCAACTTTGTAAGGAAGCACCATATTGTTTTGCACAGTGGTTGCACAATTTTATATTCCCACCAGCAAAGTAAGAGAGTCCCAATCTCTCTTCACCCTGGCCAGTATTTGTTTTCTGGTTTTTTGAACTTGAACTGTTAATGCTAGGGTGAGATGATATCTCATTATTGCTTTGATTTACATCTACTTAATGGCTAGTGATCTCAAACATTTCTTCATGTGTTTGTTGGCTGCCTGAATGTCTTCTATGGTGAAGAGTCTGTCCATGTACTCTGCCCATTTTTTAACTGGCTTCTTTGTCTTTTTCTTGTAGAGGTGTTGTAGTTTTCTATAAATTTTAAAGATTAGCCCCTCATCATGATAAGTCAATGCAAAAATTTTTCCCAGTCTGTGGGCTTTTTACTCTTTTGGTGAAATCTTTTGATGCATGCAAGTGTCTTAATATTTTGGCAGTCCTGTCATCTATCTTGTCTTCTGCTGTTTGTGTTTTTAGTTATGTTTGATAGTGTGTTTGTAGATCCCTTGTTTGTATCTATTTTTTCATTGATGAGTTTTCTAGGTTTTACATTTAGGTCTTTAATCCAAATTAAGTTTGTTTTAATATATGGTGTGAGATCTGGGGCTTGTTTCAATTTCCTGCATCTCCTGAACTGATTTCTGGTTTTGCCACCAGCATATGTTGTTGGGACTATCTCTTTCTCATTTAAAATGTTTTGGCCCTTTGTCAAAGATCAGCTGATGGTTTTACCTCCAGGATCTCAATTCTGTTCCACTGATCTGTGTGTCTTCATTGTACCAGTGACAAACTGTTTAGATCACTGTGGCTGTGTAGATTTTAAGAACAGGAAATGAGTGATCCCCAACTTTGTTCTTCTTAAGTAATACTTTGCTTATCCTTAGTCCCTTTTCTTTTCACATAATATTAGAGATTCATTTTTAGTCTCTTTCAAGAATGATGTTGGAATCTGGGATTTCATTGTATCTGTAGATTGCTTTGGGTAGTGTTGACATTTTTACTATGTTAGACAACACTGAATTTTCAAGCAAATATTAGAATGTTAAGAGGAGATTAGAATGCTAACTTTATATCCGATCATAATGAAAAAGAACAAGTTGTAATAAAATATTCTCATAGGAGTTTTATTATTTAATCAGCGTATATAATTTGAAATGTTTATTAACCTCACAATAGCCAGGACTAACCATCTGGAAACCACTTTATTACTGTAAATTTTCACATTTGTGTTGTACTGCCTGACATCCATGCAAGCTTTATTTTATCTTGAATATCTTCTTTGCTTTTTCAAAACTTTTCTCATCCATGGGAGGCTTCCTCTGGCTGCCAGGCTGCAGGAACTTCTTCACTGTGGGGAGGTTGCTGACTCTGGCTTTCAGGGCCTATAATGGAGAACAGCACAGCCTCAGAGCAGAGTCAAAAGAACACCCCATCACCAGAACCACCCAAGACACCTGAGACGCTCTAGACCAGGACCAACTGAGTCCCCTCCATCAGGACCCAAAAGGGAAACACACACCCAGAGAGAAATGAAGATCAGAAGAAGCTCACTAGCATTTTTCCCTGAAGACACCTTTCTCTAAGACTCTATTCAGATCACAGTCTCCCTTACAGAAAAAGCTTGTACATTCACTGTGCTTCTACAATTCAAGGAAGAATAACATGCCTGTCTTCAAGGGAGGTACTAATGCTCATAAAGTCTCTAAATAACAAAAATGATGATTGAGATGGCATGAAGACAGAGAAAATTGGAAATGATAAACCATGGGGCCAGTTAAAATTAATATGCTCCTTCTCCGCTGCCATTAAGTCAGTAAGAGATAAAGATGGGGCCGAAGGGAGAACTTGTACAGAGAGGAACCAACGTGAGAAAGATGGAGCAGGAGCCAAGGGTAGGAAATCAGAGGGAAAAGACCTATTCACACAGACTAAGGCATAGAAAGAAAAGACACCACTTGGGATGAAGGAAATCCCAGAGACAACAATGGAATACAGGACTGGACAGAGAGAGGCTGAATCCTGGTGCCTCGCTATGATAAATGACAAAGTACTGTTTGAGGGTACCATCGGCTTCAAATTTCCTTGACTTCACAACATTTTTACATGCCTCAAGACCTCGAAGCTAATTTTGGTGATGTACAGGGGAGTGAGGCCTGGAGAAGCCTAAGTCTCAGAACATCACTAGTTCACCCATATACTAGATGCCCAGAAGGGAGGGGGAAGGGGCTTCCTCTCTGGGGCTGTGAATTCAATCACCTTCAGCAGAGGGAAGTTGGCAATAAGGCTGGAGTCTATCTCTTCCACATAGTAGAGAAGTTCAACCAGATGAATGTCAGCTCTGCTCAGCTTGTTGCCAACAAGGTAGTCTTGTCCGTGGCTCTTTAGCACCTGGCAAATTAAGGTCAATGGTCTGTAAATGGCCAGGACGTGACATTCTGTGGCCCTCTAAACTCTTAGCACCCCAAATCATTGAACAGATTCCATTTACCTTTTCATAGGCAGGAAAATAACGTGTTGTTGTTCTCTCTTTGATCAGGGCTAGCTTCGCATCTTTTTCCCCAGGTGGGCATATTACCAAATGAAGTATCAGCTCACTTAAATCTGCCACACCTTCTATATACATATCAATGCTGAAAGACAAAAATGAGTCAACCATCAAATGTCTCCTGTCTTGGGTTTTGTCTTCTAAAAAAGATATTCACCTTCTTTGAGTGCTAATTTTGTGCCGGTCATAATGTTAAGATTTTGACTTATCTTTTCACAGTTAATTTTTAGAACAAACTACAGAGGTATGCATATGTGTAAAATTTCTGTTAAGCACACAAGCAAACACAGGTATAGAAAGAAAACATAGATAACCTGCTCTAGATCAAGTCAAAAAACAGAAAATAGCAAATGCTGACGTGCGTGTGGAGATACTGGGACCTTCCTACATTGCTGGTGAGACTGTGCAATGGTTCAACCACTCTGGAAAATGGTTTGAAAGTTGGAAATAGAAATACCATGTCACCCAGCAATCTCTCTACTTAGTATATATCCACAAGAAATATAAGCCAGGACCCGAGTACCAAATGCACACTGATTTTCATCGCAGCACTATTCACAGAGGCAAAAAGATGCAGACAGCCTAAGTATTCATCAATGGAAGAATAGGCAAACCAAACTTTGGTACATACACCCAATGGAATACTATGCAACCTTGAATAATAATAAATCTGCAAAACACCGCATAAAATGGACGAACCTGGAGAACACTATGCTCAATGAAATTAGTCAATCACAAAAGACAAATATGGTATGAGACCATTATTGTAAAAGCTTTAAAAAAGGTTTCCGTACTAAAAGAAACGTTCTTTGAGGGTTACTAGAGGTGGGAAGCAAGGGGAGTAATTCATTGGCTAGAGGGTAAGTACATGTTAGCTCAGGTGATGAGAGCAATATATGAAAATGGGGAGTTCAAATAAAAGAAGAGAAAGAGCAGTAGATGAATACTGTATATAGGTGAAGACACTGGGAGTTCTGCATGGACTAAAGGAATTACAGGTATATAGTGATATAGACACAACCTCGTAACAACAGTGCTCTGTGAGTAGATGCATGGATTGAGACATAGGCTGAATAGGTAAGGGATGAAGAATGAAATATATATATATATATATATATATATATATATATATATATATATCCCACAATATATTGCTGTTGCTAAATTCCATTGAGTAGGTTCCAACTCATAGTGACCCTGTATAGGGTTTCCAAGGATTGGCTGGTGGGTTTCAACTGTTTACCTTGCATTTCAAACTGACCTTGTAGTCCAGTGCATTATCCTGCAGCATCACAAAGAAGATATTTGTACATCACAACTTTCATGTAAACACAACTATGAATGTGGTGGAGCATATAGCAAGCACAACAATCATATTATCAAACATCTTAAGACTATGAGTTGATGGTCAGGGGGACTCAGAACCATAGTCTCAGGGGTCACCATGGTCAATTGGCATAACATAGTGTTCTACATCTTGCTTGAGTGAGTAGTATCTGGGATCTTGAAAGCTCATGAGCGGCAGCCTAAGGTGCAGCTATTGGTCTCTTCATGTGCAGAAGAAAGAAGAGTGATAAGAACTGAGGAGGTTTTGAATTAATTAGTCTAATGTACTAATGGAACATGTGATCATCAGTCTCTAGGACTCTAAGACTAGAAGAACTAGACAGTGCCCCGCTACCACTACCAACTACCCTAAAAGGGATCTAGGATAGAGTGGGAAAAAATGTGGAACAAAACTCAAAAAACAAAAAACAAAACAATCATTTTAAAAAAAGACTGAACTTATTGGTCAGAAAGAGACTAGAGGACCTGAGACTCTGGCCCTCAACCATCCTCAGGTCTGGAAAGGAACTCACCTTTGTGGCCAAACTTCCAGCCAAGTAATAGATAAGTTTATAGTGAAGGACAACACTAGCAAGGTACGCCCACTATGGAATGGTCAATCATTCAAAATCAATATGCCTAAGAACAAAGTTGAGAAGGGATTGGATGGTTGGTGGAACGGAAATAGGAACCACAGGAGGAACAAGGATAACTGTTGTTGTAAGGAAGGGATTGTAATCATTGAGATGAAACAAAGTGTATTGTTTGTTAAATGTAAAGCTGATAATCTTGTCTGTAAACCTTCACTCAACTTGCAATAAACGTTAAAAGAAATGTATAAATAAATAAAAAGTTCTTTTGTAGTAGATGTGCCTAATGAAATACCTCAGCTGATTTTTTATCTACTACTTTCATGAGTGTTGCTTGTGGAGCTGAGTAAAATTATATCTTTGACAACTCGAATCTTTTTTGTTGTTGTTTATCATGATGTTATTTATTGGTCCAATTGTCTATGCTAAGATATTTGAAAGATAGCTACCTGGTAAACCAGTTGGAAGATATCTGTATTTGTGTCCAATCCAAAGAAAGGTGATGCAGCAAAATGTGGAAATCAACAAACAATATCATTAATATCACATGCAAGTTACATTTTTTTAAAGATAAATCAAAAGAGGTTGCAGTAGTGCGTCATCATGGAGCTGCCAAGAATTGAAGCCAGATTCCCAAAAGGACGTGGAACAAGGGATATCATTGTTGGCATCAGAGGAATCTTGATTGAAAGCACAGAATACCAGAAAGATGTTTCCCTGAGCTTTATTGACTGTGCAAAGGCATTTGACAGTGTGGCTCATGACAAACTTTGGATAACTTTGAGAAGAATAGGAACTCATGAACAGTTTATTGTGCTTATGCAAAAACTGTATATAGACTGAAGATCAAACACTATAGCCTACAGTATGAATTGTACCTCACTGGAAAGAAAATTAAAAATCCTCATAACTTGACCAATAAATGGCATCATGATAAAGGATGAAAAGATTGAAGTCAAAGATTTCATCTTAATTAAGTGCTATTATTTAAGCCATTTCAACCAACAATATGCCACTCACTCCCCATCTGTTGATCCCTCCAGTCCTGGTAACCATTAATCTACTCTGTCTCTAGGATTTGTTGTGGGGTTTTTGAATGAGCCTGGTTGCTTCCAGCCTGTATCAAGACACCTGAGGTCACCTCAAGCTCCAAAGGAATCAATGGGCTCTAGCTTCCGCCAACCATGCCAAGTCGTCTAGTCCACATAATTTACTAGGTTCCTCATCATCAGTTTATCATTTCTGGAACTTGAGAATCAGCTTCTTTGCTCCCTTCCCTTCCTCAGACACTTAGATCCTTTGTTCTTGCCTCAAGCTGTTGATGGTGTGCAGCTCCTAAAGCACTGAGCTGCTAGAAAAACAAAATGGCCACATTTTTGACTTCTTGGATTTCCCTCTTACGAAAGCACTGAAACTGGGCCGCCTCATGGCACACTTGCTGAATCTGCCTTGAGCTTCCCATTCCCCCTTCTCCACAGCACTACACTCAACTGACTCACTCAGTCTATACACCTAAGGCCCAGCCTAGGGCTGACTCAGGGTTCCCTGCCATGGCCAGGCCTGAGGCTTCTGGCCTCTTCTTCTGCAATCCCAGCATGCTCTGTTCACTCAAGGTAGGACCTAAGTGGTTCCCATGTTCTTTACTGATGCAAGAAGAGAAAATAGACCGTACAGGGCTCTCTCCTTTATGTCCTTCCCGTACAGGTTGTACTTGGTGGCAATGTAGTTGAGAATGGCTCTGGTCTGTACCAGCTTCATCCCATCAATTTCAACCATGGGTACTTGCTGGAACATCAAACTTCCATCTTTTGAAAAAAGAAAAGAAAAGTAAGTGAAATATGTAATGGATCACACTCTTAAAAGATAAAAAATGTTTGGTGAGATAACAGAAGACATGAAACGAAAGCAAAAATCATAATCAGGTAGCATTTAACTGAAATAACGTTTTGTTTTCAGCTTTACAATCATCCTCACTTTTATCAAACTCTTTTATTGTCAACCTGTTATTTCATTTATCTTCTTATTGCCTAACCAGCTGTAAGTTGACTGCTTTCTAGTTTACATGTTGGAAATCTCCTCAAAGAAAGTTGGGAGTGGCTGCAACAGAGCTGCCAGGCAGGGGCCATTTTCAATGAGAATTTCCCAAAGTAGTTCTCATGGTGCTCATGGCATGTAAGGACAGTTCCGGGAGGGATTTCAAGGTAGGAGCCATGGGGTTGACATAGACAGAGCAGGCCCTATTTCCTAACTCCATGGATTCCATTCTTTGCTTAGTTTTCTCCCTCCTGAATCTCTCACCTGGCTTCCAATTAGTTCAACATGGTTTCACCTGGCTTTACAGTATTGCTTGTCTATGACCTTGTCTACTCAAGGTCATTTGTACATCTTGGTCTACTCCTTTCACTTTCATGCATGTGACTGTGTGTCTATGGATGGATGGCATTGTGGGATCCTGAGCCGTTGACAGCTCGTTCACAGTGCAGAAAAGCACAAGTTTAAAAAACAATCACTGAGCCTTGGTTATGGTGTCTATAGCAAAGATTCCCAGAATTCTAGCCTTTGTTTGCCAGATCTGCTCAAAAAGCCTTGCATTTTAACTACTTTTTCCCCTCTGTAACACTCTAAACTACCACCACATAAACACACAGCATTGCCTGGTATTAAAAATTACGCTGAGGACTTCAGTAGATACCTCATCAGGGACAGGTAGAGACTTGGTCTTACCATGTTGTAAGTTTTCCAAGTCTTCTGGAGTTTCTATAAATTTCTCTTCAAACTGGAGAAAAGAAACAGTAAAATTTCATTTACTAGCATTATAGAATTTTCAAACCTGAATGGCCCCTGTTGGCTACATAGTTTGGAGAAGGTAAGATTTCTGAGTTTGGCAAAAGGATTCAGATCATGGCCATTTGGAACACTTAGGTAAGACCCACATAGGAAAAGACTGGGTCACAGGACTTGGCTGCTTATTCAGGATTGGGGAGAAAAATATCATTGGAGAGAGGAGACATGAAAGGTTGCTATCATTCTGGATTTGAACATCTTGGAAGAGTCTGCTCCTCTATGTCAGATCTGGATAGGATACTGTGTGTCCCCCACCATTGGACTAGGAGCTCTGGTAGTGTAGTGGTTATGAGTTGGGATGCTAATCTCACAGTCAACAGTTCAAAACTACCAGCGGTTCCATTGGAGAGAGATGAGGCTTTCTGCTCCCATAGATTTATAGCCTCGGAAACCTTATTCAGGGTCAGAAGTGACTCCTAAGTACACCACCACCTGTTGCTGGGCTAGAGACCATTTGAGATTCTGCCACCAACCTGCCTCTGTGATAATCTCTATCACCCCACCCACGGGATCTTCACTCAGATCAAAATGGATCCCAGTTGTTGCAGAGTTCCTATGCCCACAGCTCGGTATTTCCTCTCCTTGAAACTGTGGGACACCCTGGAGCAGAACTGAAATTAAGAGAAAACTTAGAATCCCTGGTCTAATTCTTCACCTCCTCCCCCAAATAACTTTGGTTTGTGACTTGACTTTCTGGGTTTGAATCTTGATTTTTTTTCACTTTGTGACCTTCAGCACATTGCTGAGTCACTGTGTGCTCTTTTTAAAATTTTAAGCAATCCACATTGGTGAATATTGAAGTTGTTCTGGTCCCCTTTCCAGTTATTTAATCTTGGTTTAAATTAGACCTTCGGACACAGCTTCCATGAGTTGCTTGGCAGCCAAGCATTTGGGCTGTCATAGTTCTGAGTGGTACCAGCTGTTCAATACAAAACCAAAAATCAATTATAACTTAATAATGTGCTTTTTCTTAATAGACAGAATCTATCAAACCCAAAGTCTAAGGACAAAGTTATCAAGAATATGGATGTGATATTAATCTGAATTGTTCCTGTCTTGGCTCTGCCAGATAATAGCTCTGTAAGCTGTGTGTAGTTACTTCACATCTCTAAGCCTTAGTTTCCTCAGCTATAAAATGGAATAGAGCATTCCTTACATGAAGTACTGCAATGTTTTAAACTATATAGAACAAGATATGTGATTGTTAATGTGTTATGGCATCAAAGCCTCATTGCAGTCCTACATGACAGAGTAGAACTGTCCCACAAGGATTTTCTTGGATGTTATGTTTGTGGAAACAGATTACCAGATATTTCTTCCATTGAGTAATTGAGTGAGTTCAAATCACTAGTCTTTTAATTGTTGTTGTTGTTATGAAGTGCCTTCGAGTCGGTTCTGACCCATAGCAACCCTGTATAGGGTTTCCAAGGAACAGCTGGTGAGCTTGAACTGCCAACCTTGCAGTTCAAACGGCTTTTCAGTCTGGCGCATTAACTCACAGCACCAGTAAGGTTCATAATAATGAACAGATTTAGAAATATGAGGGTTGTAATGAGAGAGGTGGCCCCTGCCCAAGAGTCCTTGAGGCCTCGAAATGAGGGAGGAGGCCCTGCCCATAAGACCTTGAGGCCTAGGTCACACACAAAGGAAACTAACAGCTTCTGTTTTTATAAAAAGCCGCTTATCTAGGAACTGCCAATGAGAAAGCAACACGGTGGTCTCACCACTCAGCCCTATGTAAACCTATATAAAGCTAGTATGAAAGCTGTACTGGGGAGCTCAGCGCTTGAGACATTAATCCTTGATGCTCTACCGGCAATAAAGCCTCTTTCTCTAATAGCACTAGTGTTCAGGTGATTTCTTTCTCCCGTTCGGGCCTCGTCTTCCTGCAACAGTATTTCTCAGTGAAACAGCTTTTCTTGTGTATCTACACAGTCCCATAGGATCAGGGTATACAGATGCAGTGTCTGGTTTAAGAAAAACATGGGATGGTGGGTTGTCTTCTTGGAGGATAGCTGACATGGATATGGGTTTCATGATGGTGATGTTGCTTCTGAAGTGGGTGGAAGAGATGATCATGATCACCCTTTGGGCATGTTTCTAACTGTTAAATAAATGTCAGAATGATTTTTTCTAGTTTGTTTAAATCCAAATAAAATCCAGCAGTTTTGATCAGACAATGACTAATTTGCTTTTAATTGTGCTCTTTGAAGGGCAGAATTTTAAAAAATATTAGTCAAATCTGTCTATCCCTTTCTTATTAATGACTGGTGATTTTTTTATTTAAAAACTAAAATTTGTAAAGGGATAATTTTTATAAAATATACTCATTGTAAATGAACTCATTGTAAGGGCAAATACTCATTTAACTCTATCACAACTTTCAAGATAAAGAACATTTCTATCACTCTGAAAAGGTTGGATGAAAAAGATTCATCTATGTTGGTGCATGTATCAGCAACCCATTGCTTTATATTTGCTGAGTAGTATTTCATTATGAGATTTTCTATATTCAAGATCAAGTAATAATTTTACTCCTTCCTTTATAATATGTTGTTATTAAGTGTCTTTGAGTCGGTTCCGACTCCTGTCGGCTCTGTACAGGGTTTCCGAGGAGCAGCTGGTAGGTTTGAACTGCTCATCTTGTGGTTCCCAGTCCAATGCTGATCCAACAGCACCACACCAGGATTCCTTTAAAATATGGATGCCTTTTATTTCTTTTTCTTGCTTAATTGCTCTAGTTAGAACCTCTAACACAATTTTCATAGAAGTGGTGAGAATGAGCATCCTTCTTTTGTTATTTATTTTAGACGGAAAAAGCCGGTCTTTTACCAATAAGAAATATGAGCCTGGAGTGGGGGTGGATGGAAGTGGGATGGGGCTGTAGATGACCTTTAACAGGTTGAGGAAGTTCCTTTCTATTCCAAGTTTATTGAGAGTTTTGTGAAACTGGGATGGGTTTAGTCAAATGATTTCCTTGTATCTATCAAGATGATCATGTGATTATGTCCCTTCTACAATGAATATGGAGTGCAAAATCAGTTTGAACTGCAACGTCGGCTGTTCAAGCTCGCCAGCTACTCCTCTGAAACTCTATACAGAGTTGCTGTGGGTGGGAACGGACTCAATGACACTTAACAACAACAATTATTATAGTTAATGCACTGGACTGCAAAGTCGGCAGTTCAAGATCACCAACCGCTCCTCTGAAACCCTATACAGACTTGCTTTGGGTGGGAACAGACTCAATGGCATTTAACAACAATTGTAGTGATGGAGTCCTGGTGTGGCCTGCGAGTTAATGTGCTGGTCTGCAAGGTAGGTGGTTCAAATTCATCCACCACTCCTCCGAAACCCTATAGAGGGTTGCTAAGAATCAGAATCAACTCCACATCAATTAACAACTACATTGATAGCTTTTTATATGTTAAAGGAACCTTGCTTTGTGATCTTTTTATTTCAGGCAAAATCATTGACACATCATCTGGCTTGGAAGTCTCCTGGCTTATGTAAGAAAAGCACTTTGATATAGACAAGTTTATATATGACGTACCATGATGTCACTTAGGAACCTACCTCAACTCCAGCTGCAGCCAAAAGCCACCGGGTAGATTCCATTCTCCCCCGTCCATTGAAGTAATGAAGCTTGGGCTTCCCGGCCATGACAGCACAGCTCCTGGTTTTGTTTAAATCTGAATCAATGGATAAATGAGGCAGTGAATGAGACCACAGAAGCAAAAATGTACTTTATAATCTATGTTTAAACAAGATCAGCAATACAGAAGTGTGGAATTTCTGGCTTCTCTATTGCAAGTTGGAGGAGTCCCACCTAGGTCTTCCTTGCCACAAACTTCACACATCAGTGGCCACCATTGTGAAATATAATCAAACCAGTCTCATGCCTCATCCAGTGAAAATTCTTAGGAGATTTATAAGTAAGCTTATAGTAAGGACACTAGTGTTGATGCTACTTGGGAAGAAGAATTGGAGAACTGATCATGTTGTTGGTTAGGTGCCATCGAGTAGGTACCAACTCATAGCAACCCTGTGCACAGCAGAACGAAACACTGCCTGATCCTGGGCCAACCTCACTACTATTGCCTCGCTTGAGTCCATTGATGCTGCCACCTGGCCAATCCATCATGTTGGGGGTCTTCCTCTTTTCCTCTGACTCTCCATCTTAACAAACATTATATCCTTCTCCAGCAACTGATCCCTCCTGACAACATGTCCGAAGTATGAGATGAAGTTTGGTCATCTTGGCCTCTAGGGAGCACTCTGACTGCACTTCTTCCAACACAGATCTGTTGGTTCTTTTGGCAGCCCATGGCACTTTCAGTATTCTCCTCCAACACCACAACTCAAAAGCATCAATTCTTCTACGGTGACTAGTGGGTGTCAAAACTGACCAGAACCTTTGTAAGGGTTGCATATATAGTCCCATCCCCACAGGGTTCCAGTATCTTATTCGCATAAGTAGTGAAGTGTTCAATCCCCTTGGTGAGCCACAACACCTTATCTGTATAATCCTGAGTCCTGGCGTGGTGCTGTGAGTTAAGGTGCTGGACTGCAAAGTCAGTTTGCACTAAAAGATCAGCGGTTCAAGCTCACCTGTCACTCCTCAGAAACACTATACAGGGTCACAATGAGTTAGTACCAATTCGTTGGTGCTTAACAACAACATATGATTTTAGCTAGAAAGGCCATATAAAGTTGATCTATTTGTAACACAGGAACCCTGAAACTAGAGTCCATTACTGACAGAGCAGAAGAGGAAGTAAAGTCACTATGTATTTTGGGCTGTTAAACTGAATTAAAAGTAGAAATTAGGTCTCGAACTTGCTTGACTATAATCAAAAGATCCAAATTCTTTTCTGCATACAGAGGAGGATACCAATTCACTGTTCCATTTAGAATTCTATATTCCACCTCAACTGAGTGTATTTTATCATTTAGAAAAAGATGTTACTGCTTTAACTTTACAGTATAGGGAAAGCAACTAACATTTATTCAACATCTGCCATGTTCTGGGCATGCTCACAAACTTCTCTTTATTGAATCCTACAAAAGTCACCTAAAGTGAACTTGTAAAATGTATTCTCATTTTACATTTTATGTGCAGATTTTGTAAATATAAATTGGGAGGATTTTGAAATTTCTTTTCTTTTGAGGGTAAGTACCTTGCCCAAAGTATTTTATGGACCTGAGATTTGAATCCAGTTCTCTTTGAAACCAGTCTAGGCTTTACTTTCTAAATTGGTGGCTTTCAAAATATACATGTTCATTTTTTTACTGGACTGTGAAATCTACTACTTTTTCAATTAGTAAACTTTATTTTTCAGACCACTTTTAGGTTTACAGATAAATTGAACAGAAAATACAACGAGTCCCCCACTTCCCCTGCCCACAGTTTTCCCTATCAACTGGCACTTGGGGCACACTTTTGATACAATTAATGAGCTAATGGAGTCCTGGTACAATGCTGTAGGATAAGCACTGGACTGTTAATCCCAAGTTTTGCGGTTCAAACCCACCAGCCACTACTCGGAAGCACTGTACAGGGTTGCTATGGGTCAAAATTGACTTGGCAGCAGTTAACAACAACAACAACAATGAGCTAATATTGATACATTTTATTAACTAAAGTTCATAGCTTCCATTAAGGTTCATTTTTTGCATTGTACAGACCTAAGATTTTCAACAAATTCTTACTGTCATGTACTCACCATTATAGTACAACATACAAACTTTACTGCCCTAAAAAATGCACTAATTGCTATCAATTAATCCCTCCCTTCTTCCTCTAACCCCCTGGAAACCACTGACCTTTTTTTACACGGTTTCAATGTTTCCAAACTGTCATATATATTCGGCTCATACAATATGTGACTTTTATGGACAGACCTCTTGTTAGTGTTGTGTGCCATCATGTCAGCAGAATGAATGGAAGGTTCTTCCATGGCGTCTCATGGCTTGATAGCTCGTTTCTTTTTGTCACTTAATAAGCACTCCCTTGTATCACAGTTGATTTATCCATCTTGTTTCTTTCGATTTTTGGCAATTGTGAACAAAGCTGATATAAATATTTGTGTGCAGGTGTTTATCTAGACATATTTTCAACTTATTTGGGCAAATACCTAAGAAGCCATGTTTAGGTTTATAAGAAACTGCCAGACTGTCTTCCAGAGTGGATACATCATTTTACATTCCCACTGACAGTAAATGACAATTCCTGTCTCTCCACATCCTCTCCAGCATTTGGTGTTGTCAGTGTTTTGGATTTTGGCCATCTTCATAGGTGTGTAGTGGTGTCTCATTGTTGTTGTTTAAAATTATTTGTGTTGTTGAGCACATACACAGCAGAACATACACCAATTTAATAATTTCTGCATGTACAATTCAATGACAATGAGATGCACTAATTTTTTAAAATGAAATAAAGGGAAATGGAATATATCAGCATGCATTACTATATAGAAAAGGTAAAGACTATTTCAGGTGACTTTAGATCCAGTTGGTGTGTGCATGAATGGACAGGGGTGTGCGCTCTTATTTGGCCATTATAAATGGTAACAGACCCATTGATTGGATCCAGTCAAGGACATTTAAGAGCCCTTGCTTTACACCAGGTTCTTTGGAAATTGAGAGCGTGACAACTCTCAGAGAAGGCAACTCAGTGACTTCAGGAAAAGGATTTAACAAGTCCAATCACAGATGTTAATAGCAATGCACATGATTCATAAAAAGCTGCAGTCTCATGGTCAGCATTTAAGGAAGATCAGAAACAGTTTTCGCTCCAGGCCTCAAGCTCTATTTAGACACTAAGATTATTACGATTATTCTTCCAAAATTTTGCTGTTATGTAGTTTTGGACAAAATATATGTATTTTATCTCAATGCATGTATCTCTGATAAAGTATGCGTAACTTGAATTTTAGACATCAAAGCATTTTATATATTCACACTTTGAAATGTGAAGCTCAATATTCTAACTTTTTAGAAAGTAAGAATCTTCTAGAAATATACTTAATTCATCTGTGCTGTCAACAGGGATTTTGTATATTATACTTTTTTTTAATCACATGAGACATAGTTGCTATGACTCAGCAGAATTAGACAGGGGGATGAACCGGTTTTACTAGCCTGCGAACAGTGTTTAATTGCTGTGGACTGAAGTTCACAGAACTAAATGATACCAATCCTCACACTAAAGCTCACTTACTAACTGGATCATGTTACTAAAGAAAGTGGGTATTTATCTTACATAATATATTATTTCATGATAACACAATCTCTCTGATAAGCCAGTTCCTTCATACTGAGAATATAAGGTTTCCAAATGACCTGTGGTGCTATAGGATCAGTACTGGGCTGCTAACCTCAAGGTCGGTGGTTGCAAACCCTATACAGGGCCATTATGAGTCGGAATCCACTTGATGCACTGAATAGCAACAACACCAAAATGCCTGATCAAGTCTGGGGCATAGGTCATCCTAACAACTTGCTTCATACAGAAACTGAGAGCTAGAGAGATTCAATGATTTGAGGGAGATTGCAAACATTTTTGACCATCAACCTTTCAGTTAGTAGTTGAGGACAAACCATTTCTGCCACCCAGGAGAACTATATTTTATCCTAGCATCCCCTTGTTTTCATGTATATATCTACTTTGTACCCTTAGAGCCTTATGTAGGATATAAGATTAGATAGACAGACAGACAGACAGGCAGGCAGGCAGACAGACAGACAGACAGACAGACAGACAGACAGACAGACAGATAGATAGATAGATAGATAGATAGATAGATAGATAGTGCCCCTGTGCTGTGCGCCCAAAATGCCTTCTTCCCAGGTCAGGCCCTGGTGCCACTTGCCCTGTTCGAGGCCCACTGCATGGGTTCCAGCCATTCTATTGATAGCTCCACTTCTTGTTGCTGTTAAGCATCCTCGAGTTGGTTCCAACTCATAGTGAACCTGTGGAGGGTTTCTGAGGTTTGAACTGCCGACCTTTAGTTACCAGTCCAATGCTTATCCTATAGCCAGGAATCCAGTCTCTCCATCAGTTCAAGTACAAGGCCCAAGGTCTCAGTGAAGCCAGCTGTTGACACTTGATGAAAACCAGCACTTTTCTCCAACGTTCACTTCCTTACCTGGAAGTAAAGATGTTTTACTGAGCCTAACATCTTTTTAAAAGCTTCACTCAAACGTCCTCAACTTAAAGTCACTGAGCAATTTTCCATGTATCAGCAGTGATGACAGCTTATAGGAATCAGACATGAATCTGGTTTGTTCCCTACCCTATAGGGTCTTGGATCTAATCAGAAAAGCAGTCTTGGAGACAATTGACAGCAGAATGGGTCCAACAGTGGCATCACTAATTGAATCCTTGGAATTTCTATCCAAGGCTTATGATTCTATTAACGAAGTCAGAATCCAGTGAAGAAAGTTGCCGGGGTATGAAAACTGGATGCTACCCCTTCAGCCCACATGGCATCTTACCTTCCAGGGCAGCATCCAGACTGGCAGGGGCAGTCATTTGTCCACCTTTCCGAGGTCTGCTCTTCTACCATTTACATTAGGAGTGCATGTTATCCTTCTCCAGAATTTGCTGTCTGCAGCATCTTGTGAAGTGCTTTTTTTCACCGCTATTTCAGTATCTTTTTT